GCTTATTTTTAGTTATGTATCATATTTTTTGTTCAACTAAATTCAGATTGGACAAAAAACAAATTTAAAAAAAACGGGGAAACATTGACATGCTTGAGTGACATATAAACCCATCAAATATAACTTAACCACCATACCACTTTAATCCTTCTCTCTTATATATCGTTGGTTTTAGCATATGAGGTGTCTCCAAAGACAAATTTCATGATCTTCCATAAGCATTTAAGGTATGGTTTTCTTGGGGCCTTTCTCCTTTGACTTGCGAATCATGTGTAGCTAAAAAAAAATCACTTGAAAAAGCAACTAGAGCTGAATTTCCATTGCAATTATTTCATTTATTTGTATGGGTCCGAAGAATTTTGAGGCAAGGTGCTAGAGTACATGTATATGAATTTTTCTAAGTCAAAAGGGCTAGATTGCCAAACTGATTTCTTAGACATTCGATCACTTGGTCGATGAGGTAGAGAAGACAATTATGTGTTTAGAATGGATTAAAGTCGTAAATATCTATCTATCTGACTAGTTCACATGACTGTGCATGTGATGAAATTGGTATTGTTAGAAAATTGACCATAAAATAAACACCGTAACAAAATGGTGTAACGGAAATAAGAGAAACACTTCTTGAATGGTCTCGTCTATATAACCTTCCAGTTTCATATTGAGAAGATGCAATACTACGTACCTACCTGCTTATATACTTAAACCTTACTGTATAATAATATATATAATTCATGTTTTAGACCCAAAAAAAAAAAGACGAGAAAATTCATAATTTAATTTAAAGGATTTTTCTTTATTAAAAAAAAAACAGGACTGAAATATTGTTTAGTTATTCCAAAATACTAAATTTAGAGAAAATGTTGTGTTTGTATACCAATTTGGAATTGGAGGGTGATTGTAACATAATTGTGTAAAACACAGATTGCAGGAAATAACTCTTCAATTAGCCCTTGGGATTACAAGCTAATTCGAACGTTTTTATTAAATTGAATTTCTCCTTACAAAATTGGATTGCCCGATCAAAGAGGAGTGCCACATTTGAAAAATTAACAAATTTAAACTAAGAAATGAACGACACCAATCAACAATAAAAATATTTCCTAAAAAAAGGACAACACTTAAAAAAAAAAAAATTAACAACCACAAATTAAAAAAACCAAAACTTACACTCTGTCTTCCCCTTTTTATCCTCAACAAAAGCATCCCTCATTTGTTCTTCTGCAATATCACTTCTATTTCTCCCTCCTTTCACAAGGAAGGGCGTAGAAGAATCAAAGAAAAACCTAAAAAAGCAAATGGCTATCAAGTTCTTGTTGATCCTTGGCCTCTTGCCCCTGGCCGTAGTCGCTGAATCCGCCAATGCCATGTGGACCCTAACCAAATCTTGTGTGAATGGGCAAGGTTGCATTGGAGACGAAGATGGGCTTGAGTCTTTGATGGATTCTGAGACTAACCGGCGCCAACTAGCCGCAAGACGCACCTACATCAGTTACGGTGCGCTCAGGAAGAACAATGTGCCGTGCAGCCAACGTGGCCGGTCTTACTACGATTGCAGGAGGAGGAGAAGGGCTAACCCTTACAGACGTGGCTGCAGCGTCATCACGCATTGCTACAGGCAAACTTCTTAATTTGAAGAAGCATATATACAAACTATATGACTAAAGAAGCGAGAGGGCAAAGAATGCAAAAAGAAAAAAAAATAAAGAGGTTATCAGTTGGTTCTATGTACGGTTCTTGATTTTTTTTTTCATCTTTGATACTGCCCTTTTTTCCCTTAATTATATTTTTTTGTAACTTTTATTTATCATCATGATGCATATATGCTAATGTCATCTGTTGTTGTTCTTTCATATTCTCGACAAATTGTTGTTGTGTTTCGTTTATGCTTTATAATTAAGTGTTGTTTCTCTTGTGATTTATATTTAATATTAAACTTGTATGTATAAATGCGGGAAGAAATGGATGATTTTCTTGGTTTAGTTAGTCTCGGTTCTCATTTCAAAATTTAAACCATAAAGGTTACTGCTTCGAGGGATCCAATGTAGACGATCCATGTAGCAAAAAAAAACAAATCTAGATCATCCATTCTAAAATCAACTCATCTTGACTCTTTTATCGGTACGGGATGTTCACTGAACCTCGGCATTGTACTTACTTTGGGCGGCCAACAATTGTTGCATCATTTAGTTCATTTTTTCCATTTGATATCTGTGTTAGTGGAGAGTTTGTAGTACTGCTCGCTTGAGCTTTATGAGGAGCTGGTAAGTAGGTAAAAAAGAGCCTTGGGTATTGGGATTAAGGAAAATCTTTTTCCCAAAACTTCCATGTTCTAACATTTGAATATCTAACATTTACTTTTGGCCTAAATGGTGTAAAAGAATTTGTGGAATTATGTGGAATGCTGGAAAGTTTTTATCAAGTTACACCAGTTACATCGTTGTAGAATACTTGTGCAATTGTCTTGAATTGTGTGCAATCATGAATAGTACATTAAAAATGACAAATTTTTGTTCTTTCTTAATTGACGTTGATTGATAATGTTATACTTTTAAAAAATTCTTTTATTATTAACTTACCTTTTTGTGTTAATTCAAATATAATTATTAGTTTAGATAAAATTTAAAGTTAGATATGTTATAAAATTTTAAACCCTAGAAAATGTTTGATTCCTAACAAATCCAAAATCTTGAAAATTGAACTCTAAAATATAAAATAGTTTGACAAAAAAAAACATATAAAATACTTAATCCAAACCTAAATAATATTTTTGTAAAATTTAATATATTTATAAAGATAATATTTAATTTTAGCCAACACAATTTTAGTTAACATTTCATAAGTTTAATTAATTATTATTTTTTCAAAAATTCTGCAAGATTCAAATGTTACTATTTGAAATTAAAGTTATTCCGCCATATTCCACAAAAAATCACCAAAAATTCTGCAAGATTCTACAATTCTGCAAAATTCCTCTGTTATTATTTACACCCTTTAGGTGAATATTAAACAATTTGATATGGGTAGGTTTGGTACTCGGGTTCTCAACATTTGTGCTAGGAGAAGTTTTTTTTATATGGGATTGTTCGTTTGTATATCTAGATAGTGCATCAAGATAGAACATCCAGATGATGTACCTAGGATGATACATCAGCTA